TACTGTTAGGTCAACAGAGACATCGGGGTGAAATGAAACATGCCCAACCACCTCTGTCCCGCCCAGGAATCGAACCCTGAATCCCCGAGTGTGAGTCGAGAACGAAGTCAACTGTGATATGAGAAATAATGTTGTTAAGGGGACTGTTTACACTGCGTGATTTTGGCGGGAAAATTCAAATTTCAAAAACCTACATACTTGAGGTGGTTCCGGGGCTTAGCGTCCCCGCGGCCCGGTCGTCGACCAGGCCTCCTGTATAGTTGTTGGAATTGTGTAAATTCTAAGTAGTTATTTTATTATGGTTAATGTTTTTCATCTTAAAGTTTATAATAAAAAAAACACCTTTTTTAATGTTTGTATAATTTTTAAGCAGTTATTTTATTCGGGTATATTTTTTTATTTTTAAAGTTTATGATAGAAAAAATCTTGATTTTTAATGTTTTAAAGCAATAATTAAATTTAAATCCGCTGATTTTATTTTTTTAATTGAAAATTTAGCTTAAAAAGTCCCACTTTTCTTAGTCTTATAAAGGTAATCCATTATCCCGCTGATTTGATCAAAACTTATTTTTCCTTGCCAATTACATACAAAAAAAATGTTCGAGATCTTGTTTAATAAAAAAAAACAATTTAAAATTAAAAAAAAATCAAATCCTCATCTTAGAAATGGTAAAAAAAAACATTAAAAAAAATCACAATATAGTGCCGGTATTGACCCATATATATATATATATATATATATATATATATATATATATATATATATATATATATATATATATATATATATATATATATATATATTATTAAATATGACCGAAAAAGTAAGATTAATAATTCTAACACGAATTTTCTCAATCTTTCGTACATTACGCTTCACTGTTGGAGGTAAATAAAAAATCACTTCTCCAAAATTCATTTTTATTTCTAGTCTGACGCGACACGGGCGCGTTTCGTAAAACTTATTACATTTTCAAAGACTTCACAAATACACAACTGATTACAACTTACGTATCTCTGATTTTATATCTACATTTGAGTGAGGTGGGAAGGATGATGTGGCATTAACACAAGACAGAACAGGGGATATTAATAGGGTATTAAAAGTATCAACACAAGACAGAACAGAAACAATGGGTATTGAATAGAAGTGTTTGTAGAAAGCCTATTGGTCCATATTTCTTGATGCTTCTATATTGGAGCGGAGTCTTGAGGTGGGTAGAATATAGTTGTGCAATAATTGGCTGTTGATTGCTGGTGTTGACTTCTTGATGTGTAGTGCCTCGCAAACGTCAAGCCGCCTGCTATCGCTGTATCTATCGATGATTTCTGTGTTGTTTACTAGGATTTCTCTGGCGATGGTTTGGTTATGGGAAGAGATTATATGTTCCTTAATGGAGCCCTGTTGCTTATGCATCGTTAAACGCCTAGAAAGAGATGTTGTTGTCTTGCCTATATACTGGGTTTTTTGGAGCTTACAGTCCCCAAGTGGGCATTTGAAGGCATAGACGACGTTAGTCTCTTTTAAAGCGTTCTGTATATATATATATATATATATATATATATATATATATATATATATATATATATATATAAGTCAGAGGGACCAGAAACCACCAATTACGAAACCTGTAAATCTTTCCACAATCATACAAGCTCAGTTGCTCAGTTTACATTCATTAGCTCCGAAGCACTACGAGGTTGTGTATACCAACCATGGGGGTTGTGAGGTTTACAAACTCGTAAACTGCAATAAATGCCCACTAAGCCGGGGAAAGATGTACAGGCTTCGTAATTGGAGGCGTAAATACTTAATGAATCCTGGTCCGGGTCCGGTAAGTGGTAGTGTAAATATTTAAGGGCTAGTACTATTATATTCTCATGGAAACATTGTATTTTGAGCACAGTTCCGTTCACAATAAGGTACAGTGAATGAACACTCCCATGGTGACAAAATAGGGGGAACAAAGTGTCCCATGGTAACAAAATAGGGGGAACAAAGTGTCCCATGGTAACAAAATAGGGGGAACAAAGTGTCCCATGGTAACAAAATAGGGGAACAGAGTCCCATGGTAACAAAATAGGGGGAACAGAGTCCCATGGTAACAAAATAGGGGGAACAGAGTCCCATGGTAACAAAATAGGGGGAACAAAGTCCCATGGTAACAAAATAGGGGGAACAGAGCCCCATGGTAACAAAATAGGGGGAACAAAGTGTCTCATGGTAACAAAATAGGGGGAACAAAGTCCCATGGTAACAAAATAGGGGGAACAGTGTCCCATGGTAACAAAATAGGGGGAACAGAGTCCCATGGTAACAAAATAGGGGGAACAAAGTGTCCCATGGTAACAAAATAGGGGGAACAAAGTGTCCCATGGTAAGAAAATAGGGGGAACAAAGTGTCCCATGGTAACAAAATAAGGGTAACAAAGAGTCCCATGGTAACAAAATAGGGGTAACAGAGTCCCATGGTAACAAAATAGGGGGAACAAAGTGTCCCATGGTAACAAAATAGGGGGAACAAAGTGTCCCATGGTAACAAAATAGGGGAAACAGAGTCCCATGGTAACAAAATAGGGGAAACAGAGTCCCATGGTAACAAAATAGGGGGAACAGAGTCCCATGGTAACAAAATAGGGGAAACAGAGTCCCATGGTAACAAAATAGGGGTAACAAAGTGTCCCATAGTAACAAAATAGGGGGAACAGTCCCATGGTAACAAAATAGGGGAAACAGAGTCCCATGGTAACAAAATAGGGGAAACAGAGTCCCATGGTAACAAAATAGGGGAAACAAAGTGCCCCATGGTAACAAAATAGGGGAAACAAAGTGTCCCATGGTAACAAAATAGGGGAAACAAAGTGTCCCATGGTAACAAAATAGGGGGAACAGAGTCCCATGGTAACAAAATAGGGGAAACAGAGTCCCATGGTAACAAAATAGGGGTAACAAAGTGTCCCATAGTAACAAAATAGGGGGAACAGTCCCATGGTAACAAAATAGGGGTAACGAAGTGTCCCATGGTAACAAAATAGGGGGAACAGAGTCCCATGGTAACAAAATAGGGGGAACATGTCCCATGGTAACAAAATAGGGGGAACAGAGTCCCATGGTAACAAAATAGGGGAAACAAAGTGTCCCATGGTCAAAATAGGGGGAACAGAGTCCCATGGTAACAAAATAGGGGGAACAGAGTCCCATGGTAACAAAATAGGGGAAACAAAGTGTCCCATGGTAACAAAATAGGGGGAACAGAGTCCCATGGTAACAAAATAGGGGGAACAGAGTCCCATGGTAACAAAATAGGGGAAACAAAGTGTCCCATGGTAACAAAATAGGGGGAACATAGTCCCATGGTAACAAAATAGGGGGAACAGAGTCCCATGGTAACAAAATAGGGGGAACTGTCCCATGGTAACAAAATAGGGGAACAAAGTGTCCCATGGTAACAAAATAGGGGAACAAAGTGTCCCATGGTAACAAAATAGGGGGAACAGAGTCCCATGGTAACAAAATAGGGGGAACAGAGCCCCATGGTAACAAAATAGGGGGAACAGAGTCCCATGGTAACAAAATAGGGGGAACAGAGTCCCATGGTAACAAAATAGGGGGAACAGAGTCCCATGGTAACAAAATAGGGGAACAAAGTGTCCCATGGTAACAAAATAGGGGAACAAAGTGTCCCATGGTAACAAAATAGGGGAACAAAGTGTCCCATGGTAACAAAATAGGGGAACAAAGTGTCCCATGGTAACAAAATAGGGGGAACAAAGTGTCCCATGGTAACAAAATAGGGGAACAAAGTGTCCCATGGTAACAAAATAGGGGAACAAAGTGTCCCATGGTAACAAAATAGGGGAACAAAGTGTCCCATGGTAACAAAATAGGGGGAACAAAGTGTCCCATGGTAACAAAATAGGGGAACAGTGTCCCATGGTAACAAAATAGGGGAACAAAGTGTCCCATGGTAACAAAATAGGGGAACAAAGTGTCCCATGGTAACAAAATAGGGGAACAAAGTGTCCCATGGTAACAAAATAGGGGGAACAAAGTGTCCCATGGTAACAAAATAGGGGAACAAAGTGTCCCATGGTAACAAAATAGGGGTAACAAAGTGTCCCATGGTAACAAAATAGGGGAACAAAGTGTCCCATGGTAACAAAATAGGGGAACAAAGTGTCCCATGGTAACAAAATAGGGGAACAAAGTGTCCCATGGTAACAAAATAGGGGAACAAAGTGTCCCATGGTAACAAAATAGGGGGAACAGAGTCCCATGGTAACAAAATAGGGGGAAAGGACATATCAGGACAGCCAAAGGGAAGCTGTGCGTAATAGCAATATTGGAGACAACTTTCACACGCTCGGTAATTACTGGACAACACTACGTTAGTAGGGAGACACTATTATTGTGACACACTTTCAGTGTAGTCTGATGAGAGCGCCGCCAGGGAGAGCCACCACTGGTGCTGTGGCCCCCACGGACACTGGTGCTGTGGCCCCCACGGACACTGGTGCTGTGGCCCCCACGGACACTGGTGCTGTGGCCCCCACGGACACTGGTGCTGTGGCCCCCACGGACACTGGTGCTGTGGCCACCACGGACACTGGTGCTGTGGCCCCCACGGACACTGGTGCTGTGGGCTCCACGGACACTGGTGCTGTGGCCCCCACGGACACTGGTGCTGTGGCCCCCACGGACACTGGTGCTGTGGCCCCCACGGACACTGGTGCTGTGGGCCCCACGGACACTGGTGCTGTGGCCACCACGGACACTGGTGCTGTGGCCCCCACGGACACTGGTGCTGTGGCCCCCACGGACACTGGTGCTGTGGCCCCCACGGACACTGGTGCTGTGGTCCCCACGGACACTGGTGCTGTGGCCCCCACGGACACTGGTGCTGTGGCCCCCACGGACACTGGTGCTGTGGGCCCCCACGGACACTGGTGCTGTGGCCCCCACGGACACTGGTGCTGTGGCCCCCACGGACACTGGTGCTATGGCCCCCACGGACACTGGTGCTGTGGCCCCCACGGACACTGGTGCTGTGGCCCCCACGGACACTGGTGCTATGGCCCCACGGACACTGGTGCTGTGGCCCCCACGGACACTGGTGCTGTGGCCCCCACGGACACTGGTGCTGTGGCCCCCACGGACACTGGTGCTGTGGCCCCCACGGACACTGGTGCTGTGGCCCCCGGACACTGGTGCTGTGGCCCCCACGGACACTGGTGCTATGGCCCCCACGGACACTGGTGCTGTGGCCCCCACGGACACTGGTGCTGTGGCCCCCACGGACACTGGTGCTGTGGCCCCCACGGACACTGGTGCTGTGGCCCCCACGGACACTGGTGCTTTGGCCCCCACGGACACTGGTGCTGTGGCCCTCACGGACACTGGTGCTGTGGCCCCCACGGACACTGGTGCTTTGGCCCCCACGGACACTGGTGCTGTGGCCCCCACGGGTACTGGTGCTTTGGCCCCCACGGACACTGGTGCTGTGGCCCCCACGGACACTGGTGCTGTGGCCCCCACGGACACTGGTGCTGTGGCCACCACGGACACTGGTGCTGTGGGCCCCACGGACACTGGTGCTGTGGTCCCCACGGACACTGGTGCTGTGGCCCCCACGGACACTGGTACTGTGGCCCCCACGGACACTGGTGCTATGGCCCCCACGGACACTGGTGCTATGGCCCCCACGGACACTGGTGCTGTGGCCCCCACGGACACTGGTGCTGTGGCCCCCACGGACACTGGTGCTGTGGCTCCCACGGACACTGGTGCTGTGGCCACCACGGACACTGGTTCTGTGGCCCCCACGGACACTGGTGCTTTGGCCCCCACGGACACTGGTGCTGTGGCCCCCACGGACACTGGTGCTTTGGCCCCCACGGACACTGGTGCTGTGGCCCCCACGGACACTGGTGCTGTGGCCCCCACGGACACTGTTGCTGTGGCCCCCACGGACACTGGTGATGTGGCCCTCACGGACACTGGTGCTGTGGCCCCCACGGACACTGGTGCTGTGGCCCCCACGGACACTGGTGCTGTGGCCCCCACGGACACTGGTGCTGTGGCCCCCACGGACACTGGTGCTGTGGCCACCACGGACACTGGTGCTGTGGCCCTCACGGACACTGGTGCTGTGGCCACCACGGACACTGGTGCTGTGGCCACCACGGACACTGGTGCTGTGGCCCTCACGGACACTGGTTCTGTGGCCCCCACGGACACTCGTGGCTCCCGGGGCGGGACCACGGACGGTAGTGGGTAAGGTGGGGCAGGGGAAGGGGCGGGGCCACGGACGGGAGGAGGTGTGGTGTGGTGGAGGCGGGAAGGTGCCAGGGGTGGGAGTGGGGGGTGCCGGGGAGGCGGGGAGATGCCAGGGGTGGGGGGGGGAGGGCCAGACTCACCTTGCCGGCACGTTAAGGCGGCCAGATGCACCTCTCCCAGCACCACCGGCGGTATACAGGAGCCGGATAGTGGCAGCCGGCTGGCATACATGACACTCTCAGAGATGTATGGTGTATTACTGCAGTACCCGGCTCTTGTGTGTGTATGGTAGGGGAGAGGGTGTGGGGGGGGGGGAGAGGGCGTGGTGGTGGGGGAGAGGGTGTGGGGGTGGGTGAGAGGGCGTGGGGGTGGGAGAGAGGTCGTGGGGGTGGGAGAGAGGGCGTGGTGGTGGGGGAGAGGGCGTGGGGATGAGGGTGGGGTGGGGGAGAGGGCGTGGGGGTGGGGGAGAGGGCGTGGGGGTGGGAGAGAGGGCGTGGTGGTGGTGGGGGAGAGGGCGTGGGGGTGGGAGAGAAGGCGTGGTGGGTGGGGGAGAGGGCGGGGTGGGGGTGGGGGGGAGAGGGCGTGATGGTGGGAGAGAGGGCGTGGGGGTGGAGGAGAGGGCGTGGTGGTGGGGGTGAGGGCGTGGTGGTGGGGGGCGGGGTGGGGGAGAGGGCGTGGTGGTGGGGGAGAGGGCGTGGGGGTGGAGGAGAGTGCGGGTGGTGGTGGGAGAGAGGGCGTGGTGGTGGGGGAGAGGGCGTGGTGGTGGAGGAGAGGGCGTGGTGGTGGGGCGTGGGGTGGGGGAGAGGGCGTGGTGGTGGAGGAGAGGGCGTGGTGGTGGGGCGTGGGGTGGGGGAGAGGGCGTGGTGGTGGGGGAGAGGGCGTGGTGGTGGGGGAGAGGGCGTGGGGGTGGAGCAGAGGGCGTGGGGGTGGAGGAGAGGGCGTGGTGGTGGGAGAGAGGGCGTGGTGGTGGGAGAGAGGGCGTGGGGGTGGAGGAGAGGGCGTGGTGGTGGGAGAGAGGGCGTGGTGGTGGGAGAGAGGCCGTCGTGGTGGAGAGGGCGTGGTGGTGGGAGAGAGGCCGTCGTGGTGGAGGAGAGGGCGTGGTGGTAGCGGAGAGGGCGTGGTGGTGGGGGAGAGGGCGTGGGGGAGAGGGCGTGATGGTGGGGGAGAGAGCGTGGTGGTGGAGGAGAGGGCGTGGTGGTGGGGGAGAGGGCGTGATGGTGGGGGAGAGAGGGCGTGGTAGTGGAGGAGAGGGCGTGGTGGTGGGGGAGAGTGCGTGATGGTGGGGGGAGGGCGTGGGTGGTGGAGGAGAGGGCGTGGTGGTGGGGGAGAGGGCGTGATGGTGGGGGGAGGGCGTGGTGGTGGAGGAGAGGGCGTGGTGGTGGAGGAGAGGGCGTGGTGGTGGGGGAGAAGGAGTGGTGGTGGGAGAGAGGGCGTGGGGGTGGAGAGGGCGTGGGGGTGGAGGAGAGGGCGTGGTGGTGGGGGAGAGGGCGTGGTGGTGGGGTAGAGGGCGTGATGGTGGGGGAGAGAGCGTGGTGGTGGAGGAGAGGCGTGGTGGTGGAGGAGAGGGCGTGGGGGTGGAGGAGAGGGCGTGGTGGTGGGGGAGAAGGCGTGGTGGTGGGAGAGAGGGCGTGGGGGTGGAGAGGGCGTGGGGGTGGAGGAGAGGGCGTGGTGGGAGAGAGGGCGTGGTGGTGGGGGAGAGGGCGTGGGGGTGGAGGAGAGGGCGTGGTGGTGGGAGGGAGAGGGGCGTGGTGGTGGGGGAGAGGGCGTGGGGGTGGGGGAGAGGGGTGGGGGTGGAGGAGAGGGCGTGGTGGTGGGAGAGAGGGCGTGGTGGTGGGAGAGAGGGCGTGGGGGTGGAGGAGAGGGCGTGGGGGTGGAGAAGAGGCGTGGGGGTGGGAGAGAGGGCGTGGTGGTGGGGGAGAGGGTGTGGGTGGTGGGGGAGAGGGCGTGGTGGTGGGGCGTGGGGGTGGGGGAGAGAGCGTGGTGGTGGAGGAGAGGGCGTGGGGGTGGGGTGGGGGAGAGGGCGTGGGGGTGGGGGAGAGGGCGTGGTGGTGGGAGAGAGGGCGTGGTGGTGGGGGAGAGGGCGTGGTGGTGGGGAGGGCGTGGTGGTTGGGGAGAGAGCATGGTGGTGGTGGAGGGAGAGGGCGTGGTTGTGGGGGAGAGGGGCGTGGTGGTGGTGGGGGAGAGGGCGTGGTGGTGGTGGGGAGGGCGTGGTGGTAGGAGAGAGGGCGTGGTAGGAGAGAGGGCGGAGTCCCACACAAAGCCTGGGGTAGCGGTGTTGGGCGTGTGTGTGTGCGTGTGTGTATGTTCACGTGTGTGTGTGTGTGTGTGCGTGTAGGGAGGAGGAGGCAAGGTAGTGCGCAAGTGGTGATGTGGGCGGGGTAGAGGGCGTGTCCCCGGCGGGTCCTCGCTCCACGCCAACCCTCCTCCCTCTCCCTCCCACTCTCCCTCACTCACTCACTCACTCACTCACTCGCCGCCCGGCCCCGCGCACGCCTCCTCACTGTGCCAGCGCCTCACAAGGATACCGTATCGTAGCTGGCCTGGTTCACGGTGAACTGTGTATAACTTCAGGGAAAGTGTGTGTGCGTCACATACACACACACACACACACACACACACACACACACACACACACACACACACACACACACACTCACAGACACACACGCCCACGCCTGCACGCCCACGCCCAGGTCAAGGGGGGTAGACAGGTGAGCCAAAAGCCAGCTCCCACTCCTCGAGACGGGAGGAATCAGTGGCTCAGTAGTGTGTTGGTAACACCTGCAACACCTGGAGTGTTGACTCTCTTCAGCAACACTGCAACAAGGCCACTCCACTCTATGCAATACTAGCCAGCCGCCCCAAGGTAAGTCAACTCTTCAGTCAACTCCCGTCCAACTCCCGTCACGGTGCTTGACAGCGGGTTGACAGCTGGTCATGACTGCCTTAACGGTCAGTTTCTCAACGTCATTATAGAACATTCTGGTATAAATGGCTCTTTAGGAACTCTCACAGCTGCTCTGACTCTCTCCCCAAGAGTCACACAGATAACCTGCGCAACAGTTTTAATAAACAAAGAACAAAGGGAATGGCTTAATTTGCATCGCCGGTTCTGCCATTTACAACACACACACACACACACACACACACACACACACACACACACACACACACACACACACACACACACACACACACACACACACACACACACACACACACACACACACACACAAGAGCCAGAGGTGTTTGTGTCGCGAGCAACGTGCTGAAGGACTCTTGCACTAGAGCACCCGGCCACCAAGGATCACTATCTGTCCCAGTCCTTCCTCCTCCAGACCCTCACTGTGCAACAAGTGAATTGCAACGACGCAACAGGATGCACAAACCCCTCCTTCCCCCCCCGCTCCCCGACCTTCTTCCCCTCCCTCCCCGCCGCCTGACCTGACCCGCCGCAGGTCACAACCCTGAACTAGCCCCCAGGGAGCGGTGCTGGGGGCGGCTGGGCCCCAGAGAATGAGAGGGCGGGAACACAGCGGGTGGGGGGCCGTGAAAAGTGAGGTTGAAGTGGAAACATCGTTAGCCACTAACGGTCAGTGTTGGCTTTTCATTGATTTTGGGTGGAACCCCGCGTGTAGCCGCGTAATGGTTGGGTGGAACCCCGCGTGTAGCCGCGTAATGGTTGGGTGGAACCCCGGGTGTAGCCGCGTAATGGTTGGGTGGAACCCGGGTGTAGCCGCGTAATGGTTGGGTAGAACCCCGCGTGTAGCCGCGTAATGGTTGGGTGGAACCCCGGGTGTAGCCGCGTAATGGTTGGGTGGAACCCCGGGTGTAGCCGCGTAATGGTTGGGTGGAACCCCGGGTGTAGCCGCGTAATGGTTGGGTGGAACCCCGCGTGTAGCCGCGTAATGGTTGGGTGGAACCCCGGGTGTAGCCGCGTAATGGTTGGGTGGAACCCCGGGTGTAGCCCCGTAATGGTTGGGTAGAACCCGCGTGTAGCCACGTAATGGTTGGGTAGAACCCCGCGTGTAGCCGCGTAATGGTTGGGTAGAACCCCGCGTGTAGCCGCGTAATGGTTGGGTGGAACCCCGGGTGTAGCCGCGTAATGGTTGGGTGGAACCCCGGGTGTAGCCGCGTAATGGTTGGGTGGAACCCGGGTGTAGCCGCGTAATGGTTGGGTAGAACCCCGCGTGTAGCCCCGTAATGGTTGGTAGAACCCCGCGTGTAGCCACGTAATGGTTGGGTAGAACCCCGGGTGTAGCCGCGTAATGGTTGGGTGGAACCCCGGGTGTAGCCGCGTAATGGTTGGGTAGAACCCCGCGTGTAGCCACGTAATGGTTGGGTAGAACCCCGCGTGTAGCCGCGTAATGGTTGGGTAGAACCCCGCGTGTAGCCGCGTAATGGTTGGGTGGAACCCCGGGTGTAGCCGCGTAATGGTTGGGTAGAACCCCGCGTGTAGCCACGTAATGGTTGGGTAGAACCCCGCGTGTAGCCGCGTAATGGTTGGGTAGAACCCCGCGTGTAGCCGCGTAATGGTTGGGTAGAACCCCGCGTGTAGCCGCGTAATGGTTGGGTGGAACCCCGGGTGTAGCCGCGTAATGGTTGGGTAGAACCCCGCGTGTAGCCACGTAATGGTTGGTAGAACCCCGGGTGTAGCCGCGTAATGGTTGGGTAGAACCCCGCGTGTAGCCGCGTAATGGTTGGGTGGAACCCCGGGTGTAGCCGCGTAATGGTTGGGTGGAACCCCGCGTGTAGCCGCGTAATGGTTGGGTAGAACCCCGCGTGTAGCCGCGTAATGGTTGGGTAGAACCCCGCGTGTAGCCGCGTAATGGTTGGGTGGAACCCCGGGTGTAGCCGCGTAATGGTTGGGTGGAACCCCGCGTGTAGCCGCGTAATGGTTGGGTGGAACCCCGCGTGTAGCCGCGTAATGGTTGGGTGGAACCCCGGGTGTAGCCGCGTAATGGTTGGGTGGAACCCCGGGTGTAGCCGCGTAATGGTTGG